ACTTATTGTCTTCAAGATAAACAATTAACTGATTATACAATGCCTTTTCAAGTAACTTAGAAAATGTAGGGAGAATTGAGATTGGCCGGCAATTAGAGACACTAGTTGGGTCCTCAGATTTGAATATTGGAATAATCTGAGCAGTTTTCCAGGTGTCAGGGAATTTATGGAGCCTAATACACAAATTAACTAAATGATGGAAAAGTGGTATAAGAGTACTAGCATGAGTTTTCATAAAATGCATGTTTAAGTTGTTTAAATCACAGGCATGAGAAATTCTAAAAGAGTTCCAAATATCAGATAACTCAATTTGCGAAATCTCAGAAAAAGAAAACTGTTGACATGTATTTGGTGGTACTTGAAGCACTGGAGAAGCTAAAAATTTAGAAGACAGCTCTTGTACAGATGAAATAAAATACTCATTGAATGAGTTAGCAATTTTTTCATGATCAGTGAGAAGAGTACCATTTATAGATATTTGTAAGTTATTGTTATTTTTTAAACTATTTTCACCAGTTATAGATTTAATAGTGTGCCATAGTACTCTTGGGTTGGTAGCAGCTTGATTAACTTGATTTTGAAAATAGAGTTGTTTAGCTTTACGCAATTCAGAGTAACATTTATTTCTGTATTGACTAAAAATAAGCCTATTTTCATGTGTTTTAGAAAATCTGTATGCCTTCAGAGAGGATGCTTTTTTCTTTAAAAGTTGTAAAATTTCAGAATTTACCCAAGGTACTTTGTTGTGTCTGACATACATTTTGCAAGTAGTTGTATACTTTTGCCGTATTTCCTCCACTTTGCTATAAAAATTTGCCAGGATGTAGTCAGGATTTGACAATAACATCTCATTACTCCAATCAGTATCTCCAAATTCAGCATTAAACTGAGGAAATTTGGAGTTTGGTATTTTTGATGTATAATTGTTTTTATGGGTTCTTGGGTGTTTAAAAGTTTTCCTTATGACATATATGAGTGAATGGTCGGAAACAGAGGTGTGAATTACTCCAGATATACCATACTTAGTTGGCTGGTTTGTAAATATAGGATCCAAAATAGAATTACGGGTTTTACCAAATCTAGTTGGAGTCTTAATTAATTGATGTAAGCCCAATTTTATAGCTAAGGCTTTCAAAGATTTGGATGAGTTGTCAATCCAGTTCATATTAATGTCACCTAGAATTACAAGCTCCTTATTTTTAACACATTTTATCATGTCAGCAAGCTGCATTAAGTATGTAGCCGCACTGACATTTGGGGGCTTGTAAGTGACAATAATAGTAACTGAAAGCTGATTTGATAGATTGACAACTAATTGTAACGATTCTGGATATATAAAATATCCAGTGCTGGTAAAATTTTAAGAAACTTTACTGTCTCCAATGGTTCTTGACAGCCCATTGCCATAATCTTTTTACCAATCATCTCCTTCAGGGTATCATACCCTGGCATAGTCCGTTGATGCTTGTCACAAGGACAGACATGTCCTCAATAAAGGCAGGATTCTCGTGATCAGGTCTGGACGGGGCCACTGAGGCAGACTACTGTAACTTCAAACAGTTCCCCTCTAAGGATGCTTTAGGCCGATAGAGCATCACCCCAGTCCAGCACCATCTTTCACATTAAACATCCCCCTTTTCGGGTAGATGCCCCGGGGTTCACGAGGGGTCCCATGCCTTAGGTTGTTTTTTGCTTTGGCCAAGGGAAAATCTTACCCGTCTTAGGGAACCCCCCTTCGTGCCCACCGGTCAACTGCCACTCACACTGCAAGCTCCTGTGCAGGCTTCCTCCTTAATTCAGAATTTTCTGCAAACTTGGGAAAGCGCAGTCAAGAACCATGAAAGCCATTGAGACTACCTACTAGAATTTAAACATTGAGACAGGTTAATCAAACACTTAAATCAACTAAATATCAAGCTGAGATTATACAGGGAGTTTAGATATCCCCCTGATCCATTCAGTGTCAGGGTCTACTACCTCAGTATAGCCATCAGGCTCTGTATGTGATGGTGAAGACTAAGGATAAGACAAAAGTTACAAACAGTAATAAACCGCTGAAGACAAGAAATTTCCAAACGGTAATAACAACTGTTCAAATAAATTATCTCTATAGCTCAGCGGGTATATTAGTGTTTTTCAAGATGCTTTTACAAAAGCATTTTCATTCATTCATTTCTCTGTTCACTTAGCCCCTTTATTAATCATGCGTCAAAGAAACATAGTATCTACTTCCAGATATGGATGGCATTAATGTGTGCGTCAAAGAAAGCATGGTATCTGTCTCCAGATATGGATGGCGACCTGATGCCTAGAGGTGAGGTCGCCCTAAGTTATTAGGAGCTGATCTCCGACCTGTAAAAAGCTAAACCAGGAACACAATAGACACAAACGACCATCTGTGTTAAAGACTCAAGGATGTTTCTTGTACGTTCAGCTGTGTTATCAGGCTGGTTTGAGTGGTTCTGTGTTATCAGGCTGGTTTCCATCAACAGTCTGCTGCAATATCTTTACTACACACAGTCTATCTCCACACAAAAAGGAATTACATTAAAATTAATTATACTCAAAAACAGATCAATCAAACAGCTATAATATTATAGGCAATATCAGGACAACTAGAACAGGTGTCTTCTTCTCCTCTGTATTGGACCTCCAGTCATAGGAACAGATGGGGAGAGAGAGAGAGATCTCCATGACCTATGACCTGGTTTGTGTGTTTCCTGAAAACAAAGTTAAAATAGACAGGCAAAAAGAGAAACAAGGACATAGAACATTCTTGCAGTAAGCAGTTTTAACTTATTCATTAGTTAAAATCAATTCACAGTTAAATACTGAGAAACAGGATGATGAAAAGGATAAACGTTGGTCCATGATGAGACGGATTGGAAAGCAGAAATCCCAATCCTTCAATACTTATATACCATCTCTATACATGTATTTGTTTTATTTAAGATCATTTATCGTTTATATTTATATTTAGAGCTGTAATGCACTGCAGAATCTGACGAATTGATTAGCTGTAGGCTCTAGAACAGTCATCTGAAGCGTTGTCATACAGTGTTATGCTGGATTTCATCAATAGTCTTACATTAACTAACCCAGACTATATCTGAAGTGTTTGGAAGTAATTCACGTTTTCCTCCTGTTGAAAAACGTCCTAAGAACAATGTTTAGTGGCTCAATGTATTACAGCAGTGTTTTTAAAAGTCTAAACACTTTATTGATATAGTTTACAACCAAGCACAAGTGGTCAGAATACAAACGAGTCACAGGTAATAAAGTATTAAGCGTTCTCCCAAAGTAAAGTGTGTCTGAACCAGGTCCAAGCAAAATGCCAGCAGGTGTCTGTTGCTCCACTCACTCTCCGCCTCTTCGCCCTTGTTTGGTATCCCACCGTGGGTGTGATGATGCGCGAACAAAATGGCGACGGTTGGCCGCGCCTACTTGTGGCTTCTTTTGCGCTCTTTAGAAACCTATGGGTGACGTCACGAATACTACGTCCATATATTTTACAGTCTATGTTGCGCCCATAGGCTTTCTGGTCTAAAAAAGCAGGTGTGTTTTGGCGCGTTGCTATTTTCAGAAACTGTGAATAGCCTGTTCTTTAGACCAGAACAAAGTCGGTCTATTGTCTGGTGCAAAGTGCGCCTGGCTTACACACTGCTTAATACACACAAGATGTAGAGCGATACGCAAATATCTTTACATATGAAAAAGATATAATATATTAAGGATATATATAGGATATAAATATAAATAATTAAAATATTACAAAACATATTAATTTCTAGCCTACATGAATTTAAAAACCACTGCTTCCATACTTTCTTCATCTCGGGAGGCTTTTTCAGTTCATTCAATTTGCTTTTTGTGTAATGTTATTATTATTAGCAGTATTATTTATTATATCCATATTTATATTTGTTTTATTCAAAACAAGCTTAGATTTGTCCACCTGTCAGGTTTAAGACCATATGGGGCACAGCAGGTGTATTTGGAAATAACTCAGTATCTTGACCACACCTTGTTGTTATTATTGTTCATTTATTCGTTTGCTGGAAATTAGAACTGAATTTATAAATAGTTTTGAAACAAATCTTTGCGCTTAACAAACAAAATGAATTATTAATAGGCTAAGTGATGTCTGTGCGTAAAGGTTTCCCTATCCAAGAGCGAAAGTGAAAGTAGATCATTTATCTCTCATTCTCGTGCAGTAGATGCTCTGTTTAACTGTTTTCTTACTAATGAAATGCTCAGTTTTTACATCATGTAAATAGCAAATGCGCATAAGCAACTGGCTTTTAAAGGGAATGGGAGATAAGACTCTGACTGGTTTATTCTCAAAACACACCTATAACTCATTAAGAAAATAAACTCAACCCTTTTAGACCATGCGCCACGGCGCAAAGCGGATTTTCCTATCCTTAAAATAGCAAAAATGCGTTCTGACATGCCCTGAAAGCGTTTGCGCCCTGCGTTTTGCGCTCTGCGCATGGACCGTCAAAATAGAGCCCCTAGTGTGAAAGCACCCTTAATCTCTGTCTTATCAATATGACCAAAATGACTTTCATGAGAAACTCTGAAAACTGGACTGACAGTTTCAATTTACTAGAACTTCTGTTAAACGACTTTTACATTGTAAAAGCACTAGATAAATAAAGATGATTTAAATCTCAATGTGTACACGTTAATAGACCGAACAAAATATGATCTGATTTATTTTATATTTAATGTGCATCAAAATTACAGTGTGTGTAGCCAATGTTTCCTGTGTCTTTTCACTTTTCAGCTTTTGATGAGTTTTTTAAGACTTAATGAAAAATAATGTTTTATTTATTTATTTCAGACTTAATTGAAGAGAATGAGAGGAGTAAAGAGGAGCAACATCATGTCAAAATTGAGGAAAAAACTCATTTACAGACTGATGAAATTTTGAAAAGGAAAGACAAGAATCGTTTCACCTGCACTCAGTGTGGAAAGAGTTTTGGAAGAAAATACATTCTTGAGAATCACATGAGGATCCACACTGGAGAGAAACCATTCACATGCACTCAGTGTGGGAAGAGTTTCAACCGATCAGAACACCTTAATGACCACATGAGGATCCACACCGGAGAGAAACCATTCACATGCATTCAGTGTGGGAAGAGTTTTAACTGCTTATCAAACCTTAATAAACACACGAGGATCCACACTGGAAAGAAACCATTTACATGCACTCAGTGTGGGAATAGTTTCAGCTGCTCATCAAGCCTTAATCAACACATGATGATCCACACTGGAGAGAAACCATTCACTTGCACTCAGTGTGGGAAGAGTTTTATCCGCTCATCATCCCTTAAACTACACATGAGGATCCACACTGGAGAGAAACCATTCACATGCACTCAGTGTGGCAAGAGTTTCATCAAATCATCATCCCTTAAACTACACATGAGGATCCACACTGGAGATAAACCATTTACATGTACTCAGTGTGGGAAGAGTTTTAGTCAATCATCATCCCTTAATCACCACATGAGGATTCACACTGGAGAGAAACCATTCACGTGCACTCAATGTGGAAAGAATTTCATCAAATCATCATCCCTTAATCACCACATCGGTATTCACACTGGAGATAGACCCTTCACATGCACTCAGTGTGGGAAGAGTTTCAGCTGCTCATCACACCTTAATCACCACATAAGAATTCACACGGGAGAGAAACCATTCACATGCACTCAGTGTGGGAAGAGTTTCAGCTGCTCATCACACCTTAATCACCACATAAGGATCCACACTGGAGAGAAACCATTCACATGCCCTCAGTGTGAAAAGAGTTTTAGCAAATCATCATCTCTTAATCAGCACATGAGGATCCACACTGGAGAGAAACCATTCTCATGCACTCAGTGTGAAAAGAGTTTTAACTGCTCATCAAACCTTAGTAAACACATGAGGATCCACACTGGAGAAAAACCATTCGTATGCACTCAGTGTGGGAAGAGTTTTATCAGCTCAACACACCTTAATCTACACATGAGGATCCACACTGGAAAGAAACCATTCACATGCACTTAAGCTGGGGTTACACTGGACTTTTCTCCCCTAAACTTCCATTCATAGGCACGTAAGAGAGTAATATGGGATGGCATGTGTAAGGTCCACCCAGTTGGCCCAATGCCGGTGTCCACTGGTGGATGAAGGTTCAATGCCTGTTCGGTCTTTCCAGTGCACAATGTTGATTTACCTTAAATTTAACTCATATCTGACTCCAATTTTAGTATGAGGTGGTTTAGAATATTAATATATTTATCTTTAGTTTTATCTGACTCCAATCATAAAACATTAAGAAGATTATATCAATATGTAATTTAGATAAATGTTTGAACCGTTTGTCTTCACTAGTAACTATCACATCCGTTCATTCGGGTGCTCATGTCTCTCAGAGAAATCGCCCCGGCCGAAGGCGTCCCTCACGGTCACACTCTGGTCAGTCTTGAATATTAAACAGCGGTAATTGACTAATACTTTTAGATGGCCGCTACCAGCGCGCTCGTTCTAAAGTACTTTTAGTCAGTACTGTTAGATGTCCACCCTTGAGTTAAGACAATCATCATTTCTAATTAGAGGTTAGGGCATTATTATGAATGTACCCGACTACTGGACTCATTAGTAACTTTGGTTTTTACCAAGCCCATGGTTTCCCATATGAACTTAATTTAAAATAATATTACCTTCAAACAAAGGTCGGGTACCCAATCTAGGTTAGTCGTGCAACTCCTTGTTGTCCTAGACGGAAGTTAACGCCCTTTCCACCTAAGTACACTTGAATCAATATCAAGAGTTAGTCGGATCCCTAAAACACAATTAGTGTGCCCAATGCTCCATCTCAACTGGGTTTTAGTCCGTCTACTGACCTGACGCAAGACGTGCGGAAACAAGGATACAGCGTAATCTACTTGAATTAATAATTACAGAGTGAGCAAAATATGTTCAAACATAACAATTTATTAGTCAGGTAAATGTATTATGCCAATTCAATCAGTCAATTCAAAAATTATCAATACAAAACATCAAATTATCAAAGATAAATCCAAGATGAAAAGATGCATACCTGACTTCAAATTATACATAACATGGAGCGTAAGTAAACATGGGAAAGTCACACCCTTCACAGTGGTTCAAAAGATGCCTGAAGTTATATATTTATTGTTTTGATTGTCTATTTCTGAGAGAATGAGACCATTGTACCAATCGCACTGAAACATTTCAAATGATATCAAACATGATAGATAAAGTCACTTGGGTTAATTTAGAACATTTAGACTTTGAAATGACCATAGTGTGATTTGGGGTGGTTGTAGTCGAGATTCATGGGATTTAAATGTAAATGTAGGGGAAGCTGGCTTTGTGGGTCTGGGTTGTGGAGTCAATTGTCTCTGTTTTTGGCTCATGTTTGAATTGTCAAAGACATCAAAATATTTGTAATATCTCAATTCTAACAGTTAACCCTCATTTGACCCAGTGGGTCAGATATTGTGTCCATGGGGTCACTGATGTTTCTTTGTTGAGGTCGTTCAGGGGCAATTCAAGACAGTCTCTGCATAATTTTTAAGTTGTAATTCTTGTTCAGCAGGTAGCTAAACAGGTCCAGGTTCGTTTTCACCTCTTTTGATGAGCCTGACTCGAATACACAGCTCATTCGGTCAATGCAAATTATCAAAAGGTGCAACTTATTAAAACAGTATAACAGGCAGTATTCATCATAAAACATATCATCATGACAATACATTCAAATAAATGACATTCATATTCAAAATGAAAAAACATGAAGATATTTGTCATACATGATAGTAATCACATTATTTAACCATAATTATGAAGGTATATCTATAATAATGTGTGTGTGTTTTGCGTTTGTGTGTGTGTGTGTCTCTGAGTCTCTGTGTGTGTAGGCTTGGCCACAACCGATGGTATTTGTCAAATTTAAAAATTCCTAGTTGATTATTAGAAGTGTCCACACTTCAGGTTTAATTTTAATCATTTTAGCACTTATTCCTGTTATTGGTGATAGATTGGAAAACCAGGGGCCCTATGGTTTATCAACCATCCCTATAACAGTCAGTGTATGAGTTCTGCCATTCATGAGCTTTCCAAAAATGTCGCTGAACAATAGAACGTGGGATTCGTGGAAAACTGCTTAGAGGCTTAATTGCTAAAAGATTTCCATCCACTCTTTCAGTATTCAAACCAATATACCATGGTTTACGGTAGCTTTTGGAATCAAACCATAAAGTAGACATTTGTCTGCAAACCCCCTAGCAACACAAAGTGCATGCAATCAGGGACCATGCCATTGATCAGGTCAAAATTTGGCAAGTCCACAATTGGAGATGGTCCTTTTATGCCTAAAATGCTGTGTTCGTTTTGGCAATTTCACCTATTTGCACAGTTGTGTTGTGATCTCTAAGGTCTGGCACCTCTTCCAAACAAGGATACACTCTCACAGACCCATTACCTTTTCTTACCTGAATATCCGGATGAAGACCCACACCCATACTCTCCATTAAACTGTTTGAAATTTTGCAGTAAAGGACGTGCAACAGCATCACGAATAGCACATAATGCATAGACCTTTGTGGTTTTGACTGAGTGATTTTCTGGGTCCTGCCTCTGAAGTCCGGTTTGTCCAAGACTTTTGCATTCCTCTACAAAAGGTTTGAGGAAGCTAGTCATCAGGGGCTTAGATGAGCCAAACCACAATGCACAAAGTAGCACATTTTTATCTCTTTCCTCTGGGGGCAATTCATTAACAGAACATAGTAAGGGCCAAATGCTGAATTTAGATGACTCGAACACAGGCACTCCATCACAATTAAATGAGAGGGAAAAGAAAGAATCATTAAATGATTTTAGATGTTTGTACAGCTCTCCTCCAGAGATATCTGTTATAGTATCTTGAGTTTTGTTCATTGTAAATATTTGTTAAAGGTTTATCCTCAAAAAGAGCTTTAAGCTGATCCTTTAAAGGTATACAAATAAAAAACTGTCCATGCTCTAAACTTTGTCTCACAGTTTGTGTTGTGGAGCAAATCTGATATTTTAATTCACTGTCCTTAGACTCTCAAAGGCCAATGTAAAAGCTGCAAACACCACAGTAATGGTGGTATCGTGATTTGTCTACAAACTCTTTAAATGCCTTCTCTAACATGTACTTGTTATGTGGGATGGTTGAGGCATCCCCACTATATAACCTTAACAGCTTCAAAAGGTCCTCCATTAAAGACCCCGTTACATTGTGCTTCAGGGAAAATGCGAGGATGTTCAGCCAGCTGATATCTGTGACGTGATCATTAAAGGAACCTGAAGTGGCATTGTTGGTATTCTGTAACAAAAAAATAAATCATAATTTCATAATTTCTACACATTTAGAGACAATGCACATAGCATAATGTAAGCCAAAACCACTGTACAAATGTGTACATTTTTTATTTACCTTCACTTCTGATTAAGTCCCCTCTTCTGCTGTCTCTGTTGACTGTGACATAGGGGTGTAATCCTAATATGATATGAAGTATTGAGGATTTGTTCTTCTTAAAGGAAGTGATCTCACATCATAGTTTGGTGATTGTGACTGTTCTTTCCTTTTGGGGAGGTGTGACAAATCCTAAAACAAGGTAATACATCAGTTCATAAAAATCAGAAGAACAGTCTGTGGTGATCATTAGTAGAAATTTCTTACTAAGAGTTTTACCTGTTTTTGTGTGTATAGTGACTATCTTGTAGACTCTGGTTGTAACAGTATATTCTAAAAGATGGGGTAGCATTATTCAGTGAGAGAAAAACAAACAAAAACAAAACAAGCCTATATCAATAGATTCATATAATTTATTCCAAAAGGTCTACCTCAAGGACTGTTTCTGTTAGGGTGGATTCTACATTTGGTGAGTGACGAGCATTACTCTAAGACAGGGAAAAAACAAACATAGTCAATTTAAAGGTAGATAAAAATTATTTACTTTTTAAAAGCTGAGAAATCATTCAATATAAATCATTCAATGTAATAAAACAATCTGTTACATCAGTTTACAACATCCCAAAATATTTTACAACATAGCCGCTTTTTCCTTTGTAAGTGTCTGTTTAATTTTCTTATTTGGACTTACATCACTGGAGTGATTCTTGAAAGTTTCCCTTTCTGTGTCATGTAGATACTTTTCGATTTTCCCGTATGGTTCTAATTACAACATTATATGAGACACAGCTTCACAACTTTAGATTATTTTACCATGTAGTCTAGATCAGTGTTCTTTACCAGGGTCAGAAATTGACTTTTCCATTTGAATGGAAAATGTGCCACTTAAATTAATTATCTAGGCCAATTTTGTACATTTTTTAAATCCAATTTCAAAAAAACAATTTAGTAATTCCACCTATATCATATAATGTAAAATGCTAGAATTTAAACAGTATGTTGCTAAATGTAACAGTTTAACGTGTTCTGATTGTTTGAAATTCAAGATTAAAGCTGTATATTAATTGATAAAGAAACTAATACAAGTATGTAGGCCTATTCTGCTTAAATATTAAAGTCATTGTCATTAATTTGTTGCTGTTGATATTGTAAAATTAATATTGATTTAATAGAAGACATATTTGATGATTTAACATTGTACATCCGAATTTGTTTACAATTTTATAGTACTCTATTTTCATATTTTTAAGGTTTGTAATTATATCTATGTTTGTCTCTATTTTTATATTTCAGTTGATCTCTTACATTTTTTTTGTGTTAAAATCAATATAGGAAAAAGAAAAGAAAGAGAGAACATGTATGCACACATTTCCTCCACCACTAAATGATCCAAATGCTTCAGATTTGTTTCATTTATAATAGTAACAAAACGTGTGCTTGGTAAGAAAGTTCAACACTGTAATTGTAAATTTTTATAAGTTTTCAGTTTTATTTTAATTGCAACAATTGTAAAATATACTATTTAATTGTGCATGGCCCATTTGTCTTGTTTTTGTGGAGCATCTTTGTTAATGTGATATATATATATATATA